CCCTCCTGGGGGACTTCCCGCAGTTTTGTGTCTGTGGTCTCATTCACCCCGCTACAATATATATTTTTTTTAATTTGCATTATGCTTTATAAGTGGCCCTCAGAAAAAAAGGGGCCAAAACGACCTCTATAAATAGGGACTTTCGCACCTTTGTTGAACACCGCGCACAAATGACGACGCTGTCGACCGGCTTACGTCACTTCTTAGTACACACTCTCGCTGCGAATGCAACCCTTTAAATGGTACTGGGAAATAGTTTGCGCAAAATCATCCCAGTACTTTAGTACTGTACATTTAGTTCTGGAACTAAAGCGGTACGAAAGGCCCTAATGTCACTCTTGAAAACTGCACATCTATAGTGTCATGCATTCATTTCTTTATGTAGCTGGAACAAGGCAGCTGTTGTGTGCTATTAAAATATGCTTTTATTCCACAAAAGGAGCAGTCTAGTATGTGCTTGGGCCTTGGCTAGAGATTTCCATCGCTACTGACTGTCAACAATGTGGAATTCACAAAAATAGCGGAAAGTGAATTGTGGAATGTTCAGGATCATTTATCAAGAGCACTGTCATTATTTGCATTGCTCTTTGTCTCTTCATACAGGAACCTGTGCTGGAACATTTGCATTAGACTATATCCAATGTTTGCCTTTCTTTGATTTGTGCATTCAGTAAAACTCAGTTTATTTCCATTTTAACTCACTCACATCAGCTCCTTGTGGCCCAGGTGGTCCTGGTGGTCCCTGTGCATGAATACAAGACACATGAAATGTACAATGTGCAAACTGAATTCACACACCAAATGCAAATATGACTGCTTCTGTAATATCGAACAACATAAGAAGGTCTGTGCAAAGGTCACTGCCTGTTTTGTTACATGCTACACAGATGTAGTTCTGCCAGAGCAAAAAAGCTCTGAATCTCATTCCAAATAAGAATATTTTTGAGACCGTTAAGTCTCCTCCTCTCTGGATGTCATCCAGTGGCAAAGAGGAACATCACAAAATTGCAGGCTGAGAGAAATTTCCCTTCCCACACTCCCATAACTCACTGCTGCTCAGCGCCCTTTCACATAACTGAAGATATGTACACTTAAAAACTTCTCTTAGCTCCTCTGGACAGTACAGTATAAGAGCCTGGTTGTTTACTTCTGAAAATATAATAATGCCAATCATCTTCTATATGTATCTGTTTTGGAGATATTTTTTTAGATATTTAACCAGGTTCAGGTCCAGGTTTTTGACATGTTTTAGGTTAAGTGAACAGGTCAAATGTGGCCAGTGGTGTTTCAGATGCTATATCAAACTAACAATAAAACTTGTTTTTCTAACTTTTATTTGGCCAAAATTTTGAGGTTAGATTTGTTGATCACATTCCATTGGATTTCTCAACAAAAGGTCGAACTGAACATTCATGCGCCTTTGGACGTCTTGACATTTTGTGCAAACATTTTAGATCTCAAAAGTTCCAAGACTCAATTCTGACAGCAGATCAGTATGTTTGCTACTCTGATCCAGAATACAAATACAGTGATTACAGTATGCCAGGATACTGACATAAGCACCATAATTGGTGCAGAACATCGTACTCATATGAACCTTCATTTGAGAACATGAATCATGATATAATATGTCAACTTTTATCATACTCCAGTAAGGGAATATACAGTAAACACATGCTAAATACATGAAGCGCTGCACTTACAGAATTTCCTTCAGATCCTCTGTGACCTTTGGCTCCTTTAGGCCCAGGTAGTCCTGGTCTGTTATTCTGTGGAACACAAAATATGAACATTCAGCCTGGAAAATACAATGCTGGCAGAGTTATTAGTAGCTGTACCATTTTAATATGGTTAATATATGTCATTTACATTTTGTAATATAATATTTTTTTACATTACAAATGAAATTATCAGCAAAAGAGCTAAAATGTTACTTCAAATAGTCATTTTATATCAATATTTAAACAAAATTTCCAAAACCCAAAACCTCTGTTAATTTCTAGGTTTAATTTAGACTCTTAATTCCAGATTTTCAGACGTTTGGACATCACTGTTATATCACTACTACACTCTAAAAACGTTGGGTTATTTACTGTACCCAATATCTGGGTTAAACGTGTTGTGTCGTTTTGTTGGGTTATTCCTATGTTTATTGGGTTATTTCTATAACACAACCAGTTGGGTTAAAATTTTAAATTCCAACGGTCGATAGGTGCAACTGCGGCTGCAACAAATGACACAGTGGTAATAATATGTGTGCGTTATGTTGCTTTTTTTTGTAACAAAGTGTCTTTAAGCCCAGACAGTAATATTGCTGTTTTTCCTACGAGTATGTTTACATCTCCCCTGTCGACTGATATTTTAATCCGTTAAAAAGCCGTTATCTGCACTCTTGACTTCACAGGAGCGCTTTGAAGCCGATCAATTTCAAACCTATAAAAAACGGTTTCCTTACTTTTTCAGTTTGTCTCGACAGTTTTGGGGTAAATTTTACATATATTTCAGATATTTGGCCGACTCTGAGTGAAGGTATGTCGCCTTGGGTAATTTTTGTGAAGTTATGTCACCTTTTTATTCAAAACTACATGTCCTTTCGTCTGAAAACTACAGTGTAAAATGAAAACACTACGAAACACACAGAAATGAAACGTTTTATCTCTGGAAAGTTGCTGGTTATCACCAGAGCAGTCATGTAGTGATTATTTTTTACCGACAGAGGCCGCTGCGAGCTACACTGATTATTACATTGATTATTACATTGATCCAAGATGGCGGCGCGTTCACACGCTGCGGCTTCTCTCT